GCGTCCCGCCGCCGCCCGCCCCCGCCCCCGCCCCCGCCCCCGCCCCCGCCCACGCGACTCCCCGCAAGGTTGTCGATGACGAAGAGGCATGTCTCCGCGACGAGCCCGGCGAGACGACTGCTGATCTGCTGGGTTGGTCCGGGGACCACTGGCACTTGGCCCAAGTGGTGAGCCGCGCTGTTCTCGCGACGCGGTGTGTTACTGTTGCTACTACCGGTGGTCTTTGCTCGCGGCCCGACCACGAAGTGTGTCGCTGCGGCTGCCAGTGCACCTTCGCCCAGCTGTTGAGCCGCGGCCGCTGCACAACGCCGGCGGCGTCACCGCTGTCGAAGGTGGCCGCCGTCGTGAGCCGGGACGTTCGCCCGGGGGGTGACGTTGATGTCGGTGACAGCCGCTGCTGCTGCTGCTGCTGTCGGGAGGGTCGGCGCCGCGGTGTCCAGTGTACCTTCGCCCAGCTGCTCAGCTGCGTCGTCTGCTGCTGAGACATGCCGCCCGCCGCCGTGGTGATCACTCGCGACGTTCGCTTGCGGGGCGCCCAGTGCACCTTCGCCCAGCTGAGCCGTGACGACAGCGGCTCGTGTTGTTGTTGTCTACCAAAACTGTTGCTGTCGCCGCTGTGGACGGCCGCTACTGCTGCCCCCGCTGCTGCCCGCGCCTCTCGCCGCTGGGGTGGGTGCGGTGGCCGGTTTTTGTTCAAAAATGCGTCGTCGAAATGCTGTAGCCGCGAGACATCCACGACGCCGCTTGCTGCGCCGCCGGCGGCGTCGCCGAGACCGTCGCCGTGCCGGCCGGGGGGCATGGCCAGAAAGGCAGTAGCGGTGCTACTGCCATGTTGCGGCGGCGACGACGCTGCTGCTCTTGCTAGTGATGTTTGCAGCGACGAGGGTGTGAGAGTCACGAACAACGACGCCAAACAGGCTCGTTGCTGTCGCCGCCCCCAAGATACACAACAGGGAAGGGAGGCACAGCAGGCACAACGAAAGAGGGAAAACACAAGAGGGACGTGAAAGGGAGTACGGCAGCGAGACGGGTGCCCTGCGAGCGCTGCATGGGTCTACTGCGTGCGCGAGGATGTCGGGGGCGGGGAAGGGGCGGATCATCACACGACGCCCTCTTTGTGCGCCATTTGTTGTTTTGGGAGAATCGCCACGACCCTATAAAGCCGCATGAAACAATCCGGGTCCGGCGTGTTTGTCTTTTTTTTGTCTTGTTCGGAAGAAGCGAGGAGGGGGGAGCGCCAGAGTTTATGCATGGCAATAGCGACGCACGGCGAGGGGAAAGTTAGGCGAAAACGGCGGATCGGTAAGCCACACATTTGTCGCTCACCAGTACAGAAGGAGATATCATGCCGTCAGGAAGGTGTAGGGGCGCAGCTAGTGTGGTCTGAGATGATGCAACCAACCAAACACACGTGGTCATGTGAGAAAAATAGAGCGGCTCCGTAGAATACATTGTCAGAATTGCCATATGCGGCACATCTTTTTGAAAGACCATTTATGCGACTGCGGAACCCCTATTCTGTACAGAACAATGCTGGGTGCTCGAGTAGTATCTGATCTATCTGCTCGATAGCCTCGTAGCGATAACCACGCTTCCCTCCCTTCTGATATTCGCTGCCACTCATCTCTCTGCCTTTTGTGCCTGGACTCCCTCTGCCTGTGTGCCTCCTGCTCCGCACGTCCGCTTCCTACTCACGTACGTACGTGCGCCGAACGCCTCCTTTCACATAATAATATTCAGACCCGCTCCACACCAGGTTGCAAACTAAGAAACACCAGATCACTACTAAACTGCTGTACGTTCAATATTTCAACTTTTGCGCGTGTGAAACGCGTTTTGTTTTTCCGCGCAGTCCAACGCAGTCGTCTGTCTTTCTTGGCTCGTTTGTGACCGACCGTCCCCAGCTGGTGCGTCTTACAACATGATGAAGTAAGTGTACATGTTCAGGCCGGGGCAAATCCGGCATTGCAGAAATAAATATGTTTTGAGGTCGCAGAGAGGTCGGGTTCTGTGCTTCGTCTCGCAGTCTTCCTAGAATATGAACGAAAGCGGATGGTGGGTTGCGGCTACCGGTAGTATGCAGAGTTGAGACGTTCAAGGTGGTGGTGCTTTGCTGCTTTGCTCCTTACTGGGAAAGTATCCATTTGACAGGTGATGATGTCTACTTACCTACTTCGAAAAAAGTGATCCAGACAGACAGACAGGCAAGTGTGCACGTCTCGCGCAAAGGACGCAACCTGCAACGGAATCAACTCAGCAGCGACTTTTTTGGGGGAAAATCTCACGCTTTCGACACATGGGACCGCTGCCTGTTGTTGTTGTCTTCACGATAAAAACCGTCCCGGTCACTGCTCTCAGTAAGTACCTTCTTCAACATCCGTCCCCGTCCAACTGACGCGGACGCCTTCCATGGTCACAGGCCACAACAAACTGCCGTGCCGAAAAACGTTCCACACACTTCTAAAAAGAAAAGAAATAACGAGTATACTGCTGTACCAAGCAATAATATCACAGGCGCCATGATACACATATATATTGTAGTGCCAAACAAACCGAAAAATAAATAGAAGCCCCCCATCCAAACACTAAGTCAGACAGGCGAGGGCAAAGGAGACAAAGCAAACGACACCGAAATCGCACAGGGTTACCCGCGGATTACCGATTGTACACCGAGGGAGCAATGGGCCTCCCTCTCGAAATACCCGCCTATCGCCTGCCGCCAGCAATCACAAACTCGCAAAAAGCCGGAACACATACGAAAACACGTGTTTTGACAAACTGACAAGGACAGGCAGAGTCTGCCGCGTGCGAAATATTCAGGGAAAACACGAACAAACTCGTGCGGGGAATTAACAGCATCTAAACCCTTGGTGGTAATGATGCTGCCGACAGCAGTGGTGGTGATACATTAGTTGCCTCTGTGGCAAATCTATTAACCAGTACAAACTACTAATCGTTGACCCGATACCACAACAATCGCAGGGGTAGCCCAGGTCTCTCGTCTTCCCCCTCCGCAAATTTCTTCTCACCGCTGCAAGGGAGTCTAGCTAAAATACATTTATATGGGATCCTCGGTTTAGAAACGTCAACTAGCGCTAAAAACGTGTCATCCTCGGGTAAAAAAAAAAAAAAAACGAGGCGTGAATCGGGCCGAGAGCGTTAATATCGATATGTGAACTCTGGTCGGCACCCGCAACTCGATACAATGTACAGGAGTAGTACCATGGCACACATTCGACAAGAATGCCGCGCCAAGAACCACCCACACAACCAACAACAGCACACAAAGGCATACCCGTAAATCCTTCTCGCGTATCACGTGTATCTAAACGCTGACTACAAGAAAGAATCGCCACTACTGTGTTTTCTTTCTTTGTTTCATCCCAGCAGCATAATACTGTAGTGACAACATCAATCCTTCGAGGCTATGGCCAACGACTCCCGACGAGGCTTCGACTACGTCAGATTCGAAGTGCTCCCGACACGTTCACCGCCACCAACGTTCGGATCGATCCAGCCCCGTCCGTCCGCTTGCGGCCCCCTTCTCGGAGGACTCCCGCCCCCGTCTCCATCAAGCAAAACGAACCCGCCGCCACCGCCTCTGCTGAGCGCGACCCCGGCCGAGGTCGTCGGGCTGCCCCCCCCCCCCCCCTGGTCACCAGGCCTCCACGGGTCCCCCTCGCGGGCGAACAGGAGCTCGATCTCTTCGAGAGGCAGCCCTTTGGTCTCCGGCATTGAGCAGAAGAGCCACACCCAGCCGGCCACGGCGATCGAGGCGTACAGCCAGAACGCGCCGTCCTTGCCCAGGGCGGCGTCGGAGGCGAGGGTGAGGAACGTCGCGCTCACGACCACGTTGCCGAGCCAGTTGACGGTCGTCGACGCGGACGTGCCCAGGGAGCGCGCGTGGTTCGGGTAGATCTCCGCGTTGACCGTCCAGGGGAGGCTCGACATCCCCACCCCGAAGGTGAAGAGGTAGGCCATCATCGTCCCGACGACCATGTAGGCGTACCTTTTCGCCAAAGCCGATTCGTCGACGGCCACCGCATCGTCGTAGAGGTGGAAGCCTAGCCCCAGCAGCACCAAGGCCGTCGAGACCATGCCGAGGGAGGTTAGCGCCAGGGTGCGGCGTCCGCACTTCTCGATGAAGTAGATGCCTATGCAAACGCCGACCGACTGCGCCGCCGCCGTCACCGCCGCCAGCCAGATCGACGCGTCGTCGGAGAACCCCGCCATGCTGAGCACGGTTTTGGGTGGTGTGTAAGGACAGGGGCAGAACGTGCGGGGGGGGGGGCGGGAAATCTTAATGACGAGGCTTGACTGGTTGTTTGCGTGCAACTCAGAGATAAGTCAGTCGTGGAAAGACGACTTACTGCTGCTCACAAACTTTTTATTCACGCCATGGGATTCCTACTATATACCCCTCGTGCTGTTCTATGCGTCAACACACACAACAGTAGTAGGACCATCAACAAACAAACCTGAAGATCGAGGCGGAGTAGTACATGACCGTGTTGATGCCGCACAGCTGCTGCAGCAGCTGCAGCCCGCACCCCAGTATCAAGGCCCTCCTGATCCGCGGGTCCTCGAGCAGTCCCCTCACGGTCACGCTCGCCTTCAGGCCGCCCGAGTGCTTGTCCGTGGCAGAGTCCACCATCTCCTCCAGCTCCGCGTGCACGTCGCCGGTACCGCGAATCTTCTGCAACACCTCCATCGCTTCCCTCCGCCGCCCGGCGGACACTAGCCAGCGCGGTGATTCGGGCAATGCGCCGGATCTGATAGAGTTTGTCGGGGGGAGGGAGGACACGTTGTGAGAGAGCTTTGTTTGCTGGGGGGAAGAAGGCGCCCTGATGGGGCGGGCCAGGCGGGCTCGGGGGTGCAGCGGTAGGTAGTATTCTGTGTAGCGATGGAAGAAGTCGTCGCCGCCGCTTTCATCATGGTTAGACTAACGTGTGTGTTCTTGCAAGCCCCTGCCCCCGGCCACAGAACCTTCGATGGCCAAAAAGGCACCAAACGACCGCATTTCTAGCCCGGCGGCGTGTGCTGCAAGTGCAGCAGCAGGGCTGGGCGTCAGTGCCCCTCTCGTGGGTATAATAAACCGCAAGCACAACTCACGTAAAACACCTGGAGGGCTGGCTACATCGGCACACAGTCGCAACAACAGCAAACCGGCGGGACGCGACGCCGAACATCGCGCCACTGGCGGGAAAGCCGTCACGAGGCGTCACAAACAAAGTGTCCCCCCCTACCCAACACGGCGCGGACCCTCCCCTAGTAAGCACAGCGCCCATCGTACCCGTCAACAAAACTCACAGGAATCCCATGGTCATGAGGAAGCTCGGCACTCCGGAGAGCCCGAGCATGTACCTCCACCCGCCGTCCGTGTCGGAGAAGAGGCCGTCCACGATGCCGGCCACCACCTGCCCCACGGTGATGAAGAGCGTGTTGAGGGTCACCAGCTTACCGCGGATGCGGCTGGGGGAGGCCTCCGCGATGTACACGGGCGTAGTCAGGCTCGCCAAACCTATCCCCACGCCCACGACAAGCCTGCGTAGTGATTGTTGTACGTAATGAGCATCACTGCGGGTTATTCATGATTAGGCGCAGTGACAATGCATGGTATCTGGTACTACATATTTTGTCGGATGTCCGGCGTGGCTTTCACAAGCTTCAGAGTAATTAAGCCGGTCGGCGTCGCGAAGAGGAGAGCGCACATCTGGCTGGCTGGTGGGGAAGTGTTCACGGCTGTTCAGAGCATAGAACAGCAACATGTGCTGCCTACAGTTCTGAAGCTTTATCTTCAGTCTCATGGTTCGATATCCGTGGGTGGAACTTTCATTCGCATCCCCCACCCCTTGCCGGACCCGGCCTCAAATGCTTATCTCGGGCTACAGTGCAAATCTCGTGGCGCCTCGAGTATGGTTCGGTGGGGAATCGCAAGCCATGACCCCCCCCCGAGTCTGAGCAGCTTCCACCTCCTGTGGCCGACACGACTCGGCGTTCACTGCTGTTCCTTGTCTGTTTCGCCATGGGAACGGCCGGTTGAACAGCGAAAGAGGGTCCTGCGTGCTGCGCGCCTCAGAGTCTTTTTTTTCTTCTCATTTTCTCGCTGAGAGACCGTTGTACAACGAAGATGTCGTCAGCAGCAGCCATCGTGGACAGACGGAAAACTGCAAGCAGTAGCGTGAAAAATTGGGTCCTCATCTCGCCTGCTGCCCATCTTTTGATGTTTGCGCGCACGAGGCAGGTCTGCCCGGTGTGGCGGGGCTGCTGCAGCTGTGCAACTCCCGTGTGTGATTTTTTGCGGAGGGACTCTGCTGCATGTGTCCCCGCATCGCGCGGGGTCGCGCGCATGTGATCTATTCGCGTTGTCTAGCCCTTGGTCGCCAGCGCCCAGAACAACAAAATCTGTATCGCTAGGAAGAGTAACCTCACTGCTACCCTCATCACAGAGGGGGGTTAGTCACATTAGGGTTAAGCGTGGCGGCGGAAGCCGCCGAAACCCTGTACTGTACAATAAATGATATATTGCGACCCCCGGTCTGAGCCAGGCCGTGCATCATCACGGTATCCTCTCGAGAACACAACACCCAGAGCTCCATTCATTCTAAATAGATGTATGTACAAGCTTTGACCGACCCCATTTTGTGCGAGACGAGAAGGAAATACACATTAGGAAAAATAAATACACACACAGAAAGACTACCCGTTCGAGATGTACCCATATTCGAACGGGATGTGACGATGTGACACATTCCACGTGAGAGAGATGAAGCGTTGTAGGCACACGTACTTACAGATGGACGGTGCGGCGCAATTATTCGCACGGACAGGCAGGAAGGACACAGCCGTAGCGCCGTAGCAGGCTCGCCACACGCTAGCTTTTCAGTTGCATGCCGAAGCCAATTGTATACCCAAGCCAAAATTCAGCGTGGACACAAACACGAGCGCACCTGCCGCCCACCAAGGTGCTGTACGACGTCGCCGCGGCGAGCATCACCGCCCCGACCGTGAAGACGACCGCCGCCAGCAGGATGACCGGGCGCCGCCCCCACCGCTCCATCGCCGGGCCGCCGGCCACCGCGGCTGTCACCGCCGCCACGATGGTCACGCTCACGATCACCTCCTCCTGCCAGTCGCTCAGGCTGAAGTCCTGCTTGATCAGGAGCATCGCGCCCGACACCACACCCGTGTCGTAGCCGAACAGGAACCCGCCTAGCGCGGAGGTGACGGTCAGCATCAGAACAAACCAGGAGAGGTGGTCATCGGGGCGCCGTTGGTGTTGGTTGGTTTCTCGGCTGTTGTCGTCATCGCCACCTCCATCCTCCATTGGCTGGGTGTAACCTGCGCGCTGGTAGTGACTCTCCGTCTCCGGCATTGACTACGACGCAGGGCAGGGCCGTGGTTGTTGGCGCCGTTGCCCTTGCGGCACAACCAGACGACAACACAGGACGTTTGTAGGAGGCAAGCCCCGCGTTCTTTTTCCCTTGGAGTTGACCGTGAAGTTCCAGGGTCAGACACAGCAGCAGTAGCTGGTATCTAATACAATAATGGCGCTGTATTTGGGTACTGCTGTAACCCTGCCGAGAGAGAGGGAGGGAGTGCAAGGCACCTGAAGCACCTGAGAGGAGCGGAAATGTTTCTAGAAAATGCGGTCGGAAAGGGGGTCGACAGAGTGGATGCATCACCCATCACGCAACCGTCACCTGCACCTGGGTCTAAGTGCGGCTCACGTCTATTGCGATACCTGGTATTCATACAGCAGCATGCCTATAATTTCGAGTGTTTTCAGCCGTTCTTCGCATAGCTTACCGTCATTCTGCAGTCTCACCTGCGTAGCTCACATACAACAGTGGGGAGAATGGTCGTTTTCCTTCTGAAGAAAGAAGCATCAGTCATACACATCTACAAGGTTCCCCTGCGGGAGGTATCTATAATAGGTGATTTATCATTTGCCTCCCGGGGGCGACGTAAGACATGGCCAATCAATGCCATCGTACATATCTATACATATCTACATAGTCGATGTAGAAGGGTGAATAGAAGTGAAGTGCAGGTCGAACTTTGTGCAACCTCCTTCACTACAATGTACAAAACCAACCAGCTAATACCGTTACGCAGGATACAGGTTTGAAGCCTTCCGATGTGTGTGTGTGTATGTACTCCGGAAGATATTGTTGTAGTCAAAGGGCAATGGACAGGCAAGTCGACCCAACAACTCGACTCAACAAAGTACGAACGCCCCTCTACCCCGCAAATCAGATGGGGTAGCTCATCCAGTCCAGCCAACATTGATCGGTAAACCAGAACCAGTTGATAAAAGTGGGTACGTTGACGTTACGGCCTTCCAAGACCGACTAAACTAAATAGATGGAGTGATCATATTGCAGAACAAAAAAAAAAGCATGAACGAAGACACACGTACTCTTTGCGAACTGGAAACACACACAAGCATGATGGAGATAGTCCAAGGTTCAGCGCCGAACCTACAGGGTCAACACGCGCTCGAACTCCACGATATTGTCCATCGAGGGCAGTAGCAGCAATCAAAGCGCTCTCATTCGGGGTGGTGGTTGTATACGTCTCGACTACTGTTTGTTCGCGGACCACGGCACGCCATGCTTCGTTGAGCACCAGCCCGCACCGTCGCTTGCCAGCTTGTCGGGCATTCTGTGCACGGCGGGGCCAACAAGTTGGCCAAAGCCGCGACACATCCAAGCAACAAACGAAACACCCGCGTGAAACGCACACGCACTGGTACACCACTAACAACAACAGTTACGACGACAATGGGTAACCGTACCAGATTTATGACAAACTATGGGTAACCGTACAAAAATAACGACGTGTGTATGCGTACTCTGCCACACATAAAAAAAACAAAACAATTATTTCCACAGGACAAGCAACGGACCAAATAACGGCAAATCATACCATGCACAGGGACCGCAACCTAGACTCAGTCACCAATCACACTGCTTGCGAGCGAACCCGGAGGAACCGGTTTCTGTTGTTCCTTGGCAGCCATGATGACACAGGCAGGCAGCACGAGGACAAAATAAACAGCAGCCCTTGCATCGAATGCCTCTATAAAACCGGAAGTCAACAAATGCCTACATCCTCCCCACCCACCCCCCACCCCCTTTCACTCGCACCACAAGTACACAACATCTGGACGAACAAAGATTAACGCACCCCATACGGGAGGAGCAGCAGACAACAGCCAATAGACTCGAAGGCATGCGCTGCTGCCCAAACACCAAGGTGCTCTCCTTCGCGCACCCCGCTTCGTTACCGAGTCGCCGCTGCAAACGGCTTCCGACACAGAGAACACGCACACGTGCGTTAACACACACACGGAACCCCATTCTCTGCCTCTTCTATCGGGGCTGGCCCGGGCAATAAATAAGAAGCGTGCTGCGTTTTTCTCTACCGATAAAAAGACGGATTTTACCTCTAATTGATGCTGGTAGACGAAAGCACAAACAACCATGCACACGTACACCCCACCCACACGTACGTTATACCCGCGCCGAGACTGACGCTTTTTCGTTCGTCAGCCAATCATGTAGCGCGGTCGATGCCACCAACGAAAACAAAAACACGCCCACGCACACAAATAGTTCTGGAAACCAAGCCGGCATGAAAAGAAAAAGACTAAACCATTCGGGGAAGGCGGAGGTCGTACAGACACGCCAGCAGGCGCAGGATGACCACAGTGAAGAACCCCGCGCAGACTCGGAAGAGCGGGTCTTTAGAATATCTCCTAGCGAGCAGGTACGCCCCCGAACCAAAGGCGGCCGTGCTGACGTACATCTGGGCGTGTGACGAGAGCGCCATCACCGGCGACGAGGTCAGGACCTGCAAAGTTTAGAGACGGCCAGCATCATTCATCAAAACCGGAGTTTAGGCGACGCGGTGGTTTCTTCTTCTGCTGCTGTTGCTCGCAAAAAACGTGCTGCTTGTGATTGCTGGTACCGATGTCATAGCTGTTCACGCTCCCCCCCATATGAGCACATATTGTTGTAGGTTAGCAGCAGCTGGCGCTCTTCCAAAACGACAGCTGCACAAATATGCACATCCTTCCCGATAGTCAAAGAAAAAAAAACGCTCAAAACCCATGCAAATTGATGCCTTGAGGGAATAACGCATGAAAGCCGCGTTTTCTCGGGGTGTCTCTAACCGTGTGTCGGATTCGCACATACACTGCACCACGACGAGCGGTAGGAAGCAAGCACTCTCACTCAATCACAAACTGCGGTTTCAAAACCTACATCTCGCAGGATTCCTCCACCGGAGCACGTGATGCAGCAGATGACGATCGTTGTGCCCGGGTGACACTTCCTTCGGATGCCGTTCTGGGTCGCCGCCACCGCGAAGGAAGCCAGCCCGATCGTGTCTATCGCCTGGGAGAGCCAGCCGTCCAAGCCGGTGCCCATGTGCGATAGGACGGACACTCGAGACAGCACTGGCCACAGCACAAACGTCACAACCGCTGTTACCACGCATATTGTCACGTATTCGACCTGTGGAAGCGGTGGGGGGTAGGGGGGGTACAGCTGAGAAGAACTGCTACCGGCCACACGACGCTGCTGGGCCGCAGGACAAACATGATCAAGCACCGACATATACGGCCAATGATACAAAGAAGTGACAGCGACGGCAGGCAACCAACCCCGCCATCCACCGAGCAAAAATCTATGCAGAGCCAAGTCTACCCAGACGTCCAAGCAAGCAAGGAATCGAAGCAAGGCACAAGGCGAAGGAGGGCAAAGCGACCGACCTACCAAGTCACCCGCGCCACGAAACAAAAGCACTATTCATGCCCCGCGAACCCCCACCTCAACGAGCCAAAACACCGGAGTCTGGCCGAGCAGCAGGTCCCGCACAGTGCCCCCGCCTGTCGCCGCCAACACCCCCACGAAAATGCACCCCAGGAGGTTCATCCCCCGCATGCCCGCCGTGGCTGCTCCGCTCATCGCGAAAGAAACCGTCCCCACGTAGTCCAAGAAGCGCACGAGGCCGCCGGGGCTCTTCAAGTTCGGATACCTGTTGTAAATCGCGCCAGTTGGGTGTTACTTGGGGGTTCTCAACGGATAAAAAAAAAAATGCCGTTGAATCGCCGAATGGCTATTGTAAGGTTCTGAACGGGAAAAAGAGCTCCCGGGACGTCGTTTCGTCGACAACGTAGGATGGCTGGTGGGCTGGTTTGCTGGCCATCTTGACTACAGCAGTGCGGGGTCTCGTGGAGTTTGTAGCACACGCATGAGCCCGCCCTCTGCGGTTGCGGGAGGCGTTGACAGCAGGGATATCGTTGGGTTTCCTTCAGCAACATGCGATACGAGGAGGAATAGTTTTCAAAGCGCTGCTACTACTTGGGATGGAGAAAATATAGGGAAATCGAAACTTTTCCATGTGTAGCCAAGATCCTGCGATCATGTTTCGGTACACGCCCTCCTAGAAGATACAGCACCAGCCCGCCGCTACGGGGATGGTGAGGATACAGGAGGAGGATAGTTGCGCAGCCGATCGTTGCAGCGGGAAACCTCGTGCTCTAGAGCTCGAGTGGCAATCTACACTATTATACATTGTACATGCGCTCGAGGGATACTACTGCTGTAGTCCCATGTCTACGTACATGTAGGTGTGCTCTTTCCGGGAGGCCTCATAAATAGTGTCACCGCCTCCCGCGGGGGAAGGCAGTGTATCTATATCTACGTGCGTCACTACTACTGAGCGTGAAGTAGAAAGAGCGGGGTGCCACTGGATCCTAAAAGCCGTGGTAGCTGCAGTTGTTGCACTAGCACAGGAACCCCAGTCGGTGCTCAGATGATACGCCATTATCCATCACAATGTACGTGCATAAATAACTGCCGACCTGCTGAGCGCCTCTGGAGCTGGGATAGCCCTCCGATTCACTCCATCCTGCCACTTGTTCCTACAGCCCCTAGTAAAAGCAACGTTGATGCCCCCACCACGAGCATGGAAGACCGTTCCTGGCAACACCGTTGTCTGTCTTGGAGGGCTGCTGCTGTTGGGGACGATGCGATCCTGCCCCCCGGGGTCAGAGTCGCCGTTGTGCTTGCGAGTGAGAGGCGTCGGTGGCTGCTGCTGCTGTGGTCGCCACAGTTCAGCCGCCGCACATGGTCGTCGCCACGCCACCGAGAGTAGAAGAGTGCATTTCAGCGGTCGCCGCATAGCACCAGCAGTGGACTGCTGACCCTGCTGCACACAGCAGGAGAGGCAGAAGCGTGGTGTTGATGCCACCTGTGTTTCCTCTTTGGCGTTGCACAGCAGCACGGTGCGGCGCGATATTATAAAGCAAGCCCTCCACACGGAACTCCTTTTGATTGTTACGGTTCGAAATGTTTTGGCGTTTCATATTATTGGCGCCGGTCATCACTCATCACTCATCACTCATCACTCATACACACACAGAATGATCAGGTGGTAGATGATGGCGATACTACCGGTACAACGACGAGTAACCATACACGCACCCTTCCGCCATTGCGGACGCCGCCTATACATGCCTTTATTCCTGTTGTGATGGGGTACGACAGGTTTACGTTGATCCGCGGTTCGTTCTCTCAACACGGTACAGTAGTCTCGTCGCTGATTGCAAGCAATACAACAACACACGCTTCACCCTCGCAGTAACGCGAACGTGCAACCCTGCCGACGCGCCGATGATCCCATGAGCTGAGACAAGACATATAACCGGAGCTCGATAGTACAGTGACGGCCCGCTCATAGGAACGCGATAACCAGGCGAAGCTCGAGCGTTCGTGTATACTTCGTATATGGTACAATGTACGTGGGTTTTTTAGAGTTGAGGGGCGGACATCAGGAAAGTCACGAACCTACACCAGTAGTCTACACCGGCGGTTGAGATCGAACAGGCTCTCAAAAAAAAAAATGGAATGAAAGTTAGTTTACGTGGGACTGCCTCATGACCGAAGACGCCGCCGATCTCATTTAATGTACAGTAGTAGGATAGGATTCTTTGGATTCTTGGCCGAGCACCACCTGTTGCATATATAGACTATGGTCAATCAAGTTCTTATCTACATGTACGCCTTTTGAACCTGGATTTCTGGGAGTTTCTTTCTGTCGCAGTTTCCTTCTCCGCGAGCAGGGGGTCTTGCATACGATAGGCAAGTCCTTGATAGGAGGTGGGAAGATCGTGGTACACCTCATGTCTTCTTGAAGGACAATACTTTCGTGTGGGTCTAGGTGAGCCGCCCGAGATGCCTGGGTCTCCACAGCAGGTCATGCCGGCCTTAGCCAGCCATTGAGCGTTTCAAGCATCTCACACCGTGACGAACAGAGTAGTACCTCCTTGCGTCTCTCACAGGGGAGGCGTCGAGGCTGGAAGAATATCTGTCTCCGTCGGAGGTATTTTGGGTACTCGGTACTCGATTCTCATCTGCGGGGACTCTGGGAGATACGAGTGTGTGTGGTGGTAGGTGAGTAGCGGGGCCCTTTATCTCTCCTCTCTACCCTGAATAACATATCTGGGGTCAACCTATATTGTCTGCGCTTGTGACAACAAGCTGTCCGCCTCCAAATAAGGGTGTTATTGTCTGGGAGACAAGAGGAGTCCTGGGTTGGGCGCACAACGGCAACACTCTGCGAGGACTGCTGTATGTAGGTGAAAGCGATGTAGGATACAAACAAATCCTGGGTTTCAAGAAAATTAATCAGAACGCTCGCACACACAGACGTGATTGGACGAATGTACAAAACGGTGACAGGAACAACTTTGTCAACCTCTTCGCAACCACGACAGGCGAAGCGAAGATGAAAACTAAAAACCTATCAACAACAACCTGCTGCCCGAATATCGTTGCGAGAACTATTTACTACATACATGCCCTTTTTCAACGCGAACAAAAAAGTCGCTGGTGGAGACCGTCGTCCCCACCACGACGAAGCGCGGAGTGGCGCCAGCTACGACACGCGCTGCTCCATTACAATGGTTCGTCACCGGCATGTTCGTATACTGCGCAGTTTTTCAATGCTTCTTAAGACCTCCGTAGAGCAAGGATTCCTCCTGCACAATCTGGTTCATAATATATGGTTCTTGACCGGTATGTACGCATACAGATTCATCTAGGCTGCTTGAGGCCTCTGACAAGCAGGGATGCCTCCCGTAGCGCTGCCGACAGGACTTCCGGGTGGTCTTCCACGCGCCCGGCGCCCTTCCCGGGGAGTCGGTCCAGGGCGCGGCCCACTGTCTTGCGCGCGTAGCCCCCGTACGCGACGCCGCCGACTCGCCTTCTGCTCTCTTGCCATGGTGGTGGTGGTTGTTGTTGCCGGTGGTGGTGGTCTTGAGAACGGTTCTGGCGGGCAATAGTGTTTGGGGGAGGGGGGGGGGGGCAGGGGGGGAGTTGTGCAGGTGCGGGCGGCGGTTTCGGGTTCAAAAATTGGCTTACAGAGTTGTCTTTTCGTTGTCTTCTGCTTTCGTGGCACCGTACAATACCTAAGCGGCCAACGGAGAAATTCGTCTTTCTCTACTCCTCCCGCAGACTGAAAGATTATACTACGGTAGATACGAACATCTCTGTTTTCATTTTTTAAGGGTGTGCATGGCTTTTTTTTCGCAAACGTTCAAGCACAGCGCAAAGAAAAACGAACAACAAACAAACGCCGCCGCTGCTGCCATCACCAAGACTATTTAGATTGCCTACGTGGTTATAACGATGAGCATAGCTCGCCTGAGAGCGGCAGTCCGAGCTATCGCCATCGCCATCGCCATCGCCGCCGCCGCCGCCGCCGCCGCCGCCGCCGTCGTAGTCGTGTCCGATAAGCCCCATCTCACGCAGCCTGTGAGCCGTGCGGTCGTTGGTGCCTCCGGCCAGCTGTACGAAGTGTTGCCCCTCGCCGAAGGGGAGGGCTAGACGCGAGACATCCCACAACGCACACCACAAAACCAAACAAAAAGAAACAGCACAAACACAACGCAAGCGCGTGGTGAGGCGTGGTTATCCAAGGGAAGAAAGTGTAGGAGCGATGGGGAGAGGGCTGGGGACGAGATCTATCGGGTTGGGAAAGGAAAAGTCAGCGCTCGGGAACAGCTGTTACCGCGTACCTCGCGTGTCGAGAACCTTCTCCGCCAGGCGAATGCATGCCGCCGTAGCCCCCGTGCCGATGTCTCCGCTCATGGGCCTACCATCAGTCTTCAAATAACAAAAAACCGGGGGGGGGGGGGGGGGGGG